CGGCCCTCCCGCCCGGCCTCCCCTCCCGGCGGCGCGCACGCACCTGGCTGGCCTCCGGGCTGACCGGCTCCCCGTCGGCTGAGGAGAAAGCGCCGCCACGGGCGCCACAAGCCAACGCCACTAACGGAACACCGCCTCCTCCCGCGGGCGGGCGCCCAGTGCCACGCCAAACGCCGCGAGAGTGGGGACAAATACCGCGAGAGCACAGCCTCGGGCGGGGCGGGGCGTGCGGGCGTGCGGGCGTGCCTCGCTCCCGCCCCTGCGTGCTCCTACCGCGCGCCCCGTGGCTGTCGCGGGTTCCCGAGGGGTGCGCGCGCCCGCGCTCGTGCCCCGCGCGGGCGGCCGTTCCCTGCGGCCCGGTAGCCTTCCCCTTCCTGGTAGCCTGAGACTTCTCCCTGGGTTTGGTCCCCAGCGCTGCCAAAAGGAAAATACATGTTATTTATTTAAGATGGACGCTCTCCACCGAGTAGGGAATGGTCACGGTAGCTTGTTGCACACGTCTTATAATCTGACGGTCTCAGGAGAAAGGATTTTTCCTGCCAGAGTACCCTGGGGAAAGACTGGCTGGCCTGGTGAGGTCCGCTTGCCCGCCTCTGGATCAGTCTTGGTGCCCAGGGGGATGGCCAGGTGCTGATTGATCAGCTCAAGGTGAAGCTAGAACCAGGACGCAGGCAAGGAGCGTGGTGGCCCCGCGTTGGACGCAGAGGCAAAGGCTGGGATCTAAGAAGCCGCTTGTCGTGACTGTTACACCCATCCTTTGGCCCTTGTGCCACTAATTTGTCTTAAAGCATGGCTTTATTGTCACAAGACTGCTGGCACATCCTCTATAGGAATGGTCCCCAATCCCATCACATTAAAGTTGTAGCCCACTGCAGTCAATCCTGCCGGTCAGAGAGGCTCCTCACTCATTGTACAAGGAGCCTGTTTACTGTTTTATCCTCTCAATTCCTCTTTGAGCCCTCAGCTCTGACCCTTTTTCTGGACACTAGCCTTTGCAAGTAGATTGGGTTTGGGTACAAACTTTTCAAGTACTTTAGCGCTGTTGGAAGCCATAGGAATCAAACTTAAGACAGCCACTGTCTTTTTTTTTTTTTTGTCTCTTTGAGACATGGTCTGGCTATGCAGTTCAGGCTGGCCTTGAGCTCACTTTATAGCCCAGGCTGACCTCAAACTTGCAACAATCCTCCTGCCTCAGCCTCCCTAGTGCTGGGATTACAGGCGTGCACCACTATTCCTGGCTATCTTTTCTCTCTAGAAGCAGGCTCTAGGAAGATGATGTGAATGGAAATTATTTAGGAATTGCTGTGGTCTGATGTTTGGGTCTACCAAAATTCATATGTACATTGAAATCCAAGCCCTTTCAGTGCTGGTATTAGGAAGCGGGCCTCTGTGAGGGGATGAGATCATGACACCCGACCCTCAGGAGTGGGATTAGAGTCCTTATAACAAGAGGTCTGAAGCTGGGTGGAACAGTGCAGGCTTGTAATCCCAGAACCATGGGAGGTGGAGGCAGGAGGACTTCATGTGCAAGCTCACCCTGGGTGATTTGGCAAAATTCACTCAAAGTAAAAAATAAGAAAGGAAGAGGATAAAGGTGGAGCTCAGTACAACAATCCCTGGTACTAAAGAAAGAAAAAAGAGGCCCGAATGAGACCTCCTGGTCACGTGAGGTTCTGGTGGAAAAGGCATGTCTGTGGACCAGGACATGGGCTTTCACTAGATACCCAGTTTGCTGGGGCTCTGATCTTTCACTTTTCTATTTCTTTCAGGTGAGGTCTTATTCTTTTGCCCAGGGTAGCCTCAAACTCATGATCTTCCTGCCTCAGTCTCCAAGTAGAAGAGATTACAGGTGCATCCCCTGTGCCTAGGGTGAGTCCTTGAACTTGAAGTTCCTAGTGTCCAAGATTATGAGAAATAATTTTTTTGGAGAACGAAGGTCTTGCCGTGTAGTTCAGGCTGGTCTTGAATTCATGGTGATCCTCCTGGCTCAGCCTCCCAGCTGCTGGGATTACAGCATGAACCACCATTAACAAATAAATTTCTGTTACTTATTAGCTATACGGTTATGGTATTTCATTATGAGAACCCCAAAGGGCTAAGAAGGAGCAACCCTAAGAAACTGCATTCAGGGAACAAGACAGTAAAATGAGGATCGTGACTAAGGAAGTGTGTAATATTAACCCAGCCGCACAGTGGGTGCCTGGAGTTTCATCCTACCGGGCAGCAGCACAGAAGGAGCGCCTAACAATGGTTCCTCTGCAGTGGGGAGGGGATATTCGCGCTGTCTCCTGAGAGCCCTAAGCTGAGAGCTGCTCCTGGGTGGTGACTCCCCGTTTCTGGTCTCCATACCTGGGCAAAGGCAGACTTCGGGCTTAGGATACAGTCTTGGGCACAGAGGCGCAGACAGTCGGGAGTCAGCTGGGGCACAGGAGAAGGAATAATGTCCAGTGGCTCTGGAGGAAAGCTCAAGAATAAGAGTGGGGTGCTATTAGCCTGCAGCTCTAGGTATCCCCAGAGCCTCATGTGTTCAGAGGTGAGGTTCTGGAAGGTGACTGGGTTATGGGGGCTATAGCTGACCTGCTGTAGGAGCCAGCTGGAGGCAGGTCCCTAGGGCACGGCCTGAAAGGGTCTCCCTCCCTCCCTCCCTCCCGGCTCCTCCCTTCTCCCTCTGCTGCCTGCCCTCCCTGAAGGGAGCAGCTTTCCTCCAACCCACCCTACCCTGCCTCGGAGCCAGCCGGGGACTGAGATCCTGAGCTAAGCTAAACCGCCCCTCCATTAGGGGTGGGCATTGGGAATGGTGCCTCCCCGTGAGAAAGTGACTGAGACAGAGCTGATCACCTCAGCTACAACTGACAAGTCAGGTTTTTGTTTGCTGACCAGGTGGAGCTTAGGGGCTGAAAAGCTTAGACTTTTTCTGTGACATATGAAAGCACCCAGTAATTTCCAGAGTCCTTGCAGCTCAGCGTCTGGGCGGTTTGTCAGGCATCTCAGAACCAGCATGGTGCTCTGGTCCATGCCAGGGTGTGGGTCTCTTCGGTCTTGCCACACTTTGGAGCTCCCTAAAGACAGGGCCCAGGGCCCCTCCACTTCTGTTTTCCTCAGCACAATGAGGGCTCGTGTTATGACTGAGTCAATGACACAGAGATGAAACTGCCCTATAAGTGGACTCAAGAGAAAAAAATACAGTTGGATGAAGGGTCTTTAACTCTGGCCTCTACCCGCACGTCTAGCTCCTTTGATGGTCATGTGTCGGGTCCCCTGTGTCCGTGGCTCAGCTGCAATGTTATCCCCTCAGGTGATCTCAGGCTCTGCCCTCTAACGTAGCTGCCCAGACAAGCCTTGGCGTGTTACCCTGTGTAACTCTCTGGAGAGCATGATCACCATGTGAGGCTGCCTCCTTTACTGTTTCTCTCCCAAGGTTTTATGAGCAAGAACATTGGTTTCCTCACTACAGTTTCCTCAGCACCTACTAGCCGATCAATAAGCATTTTTAACCAATTAAATACAACGGAAATGAAAACGACCTTCCCTTGAATGTAGTTAGGAAGGAGGTCCTAGCAACTCCAGAGAACAGCTGGATTCTAAGGCAAGCTGTGGTACTTGTGGAGCTAGTGGGGAGAGGCGTCCGGAGAGCGAGCTGGTCTGCGCCCGCCGCTCCAAGTCTCTCCCTGCGAAGGGCTGTCTGACGGGCAAGTGGTGGCTGAAGCAGCCCCCGCCGTGCTCGCAGTCTTTGGATTTCCCCTTTTGCTCTCCGCCTGCAGTGGAGAGCATCCTGCCAAGACTGGAGAAGGAAACACAGCTGTGGCAAACCTCCTTCCCCAGGGTGCCTGGCCTTTGCGCAGAGCTCCACCCTGCCCACACCTAAAGCTGCGCTTAATGCTGAGGGTCCAGGGCTGCTCAGAGCCAGGGTCATCCCGAGGAGGAGCCTCGGGTGCTGTCACCCGCGCTGGCAGTCAGGGGACTTCCAGTGGCTTCTGGCTTGTCTCTTCTGTTGCTTAGTGACCCCTGTTAAGGCCGCTTGTCAGTGCAGGGGAGGAACGCCCTGGGCAGTCGAGTGCCTCTCAGGTGCTCAGCTGCGGGACACTCTCCGTGGAGCCCGATGCCTGCAGCAGTGACTTGGTGACCTAGTTCCACACCCTCATAGTGGTTTTTCCTCCTTCCTCGTCTCACTTTCCCCTTGCTCTTCCTCTGCTTCCCGAGACCACCTCCCAAATCCCCCTGCTCCACAGGCCTCAGTTGAGGACCCGATTCAAGGGTTGCTCAGATGTAAATGCCGGCCGTTGCTCACTCCCGCTGGAGCTGGTCTGACGGCTGCGCCCGAGTCTGTGGAGCCAGGAGGGGTCAAGCTGCCCTCCCACACCAGCTGACAGTCATTGCGTGGATCTGCAAGCCCGGCACCGCTGGGAGTCCAGACCTCAAAAAGAAATCTTGTTTAAATATTAGCAACTAATTCAGAACTAAAAGCACTGCACAGCCCGACACATCTGCTGACCAAATGAGGCCCAAGAGGGCCCCGTGTGTGCCCGCTGGAACAGAGTGGGCAATGGGAGGATGGAGAGGGGGGCAGGGGAACAGGCTGGCTCCCAGACCATGCCTGGGAAGGCCAGTGCCCTCAGGTGACCCGTCAGAGCAGGGAGTATTTACTACGTTATCTCACTCTCTCAAGCCTGGGAGGCAGATACTGTTGCCATTATCTCTATTTTATTTTTTGTGACAGTTTTGCTATGTAGTCCAGGCTGGCCTTAAACAATGTAGCCCAGGCTGGCCTCCAACTTGCAGCAATTCTCCTGCCTCAGCCTCCTGAGTGCTGGAATTATAGGTGTGCACCACCATGCCCGGGATTTATCTCTTTTAGAGGTGAAGAAACAGAGGTCTCAATGGTTAAGTGACAAATCTGGAATTCAAAATGAGTTCTCTCCATTTACATATTATAGCTACCCTGGGATACAACCCCTGCTTCCAGCAAAAGGAACAGGGAACTGGGCTAATTTTGGATTCAATTAACAGGAATCTCTGCCTCCTCTTTTTATTTTATTTTATTTTTGTCTTTTTGAGACAAGGTCTCGCTATGCAGTGCTGGCCTTGAGCTCACTTTGTAGCCCAGGCTGGTCTTGAACTTGCAACGATTCTCCTTGCCTCAGCCTCCCGAGTGCTAGGATTACAGGCATGTGCCACCATGCCCGGCCCCTGCCTCCTCTTAGAGGTGAGACTATAGAGGGAAGTTTTTTTTTTTAATAGAACACAGCTAACAAAGGCAGAAGGAATGACAAAATTAGAAAATCACCATTATACAACCACTCAGGAATTAAAGAACAAAGCTGGGTAGATCGCATTTGAATGCAAGGCCACTTCTTGCTGGGATGTGAAGCAAGCACTTGCCCTTCCTAGGACGCATTCTTGCCTAAAATAGCAACCCAACCAAGTTTCTAGCCTCAGTCTCTGTGAACCTCAGGCCTAGAAGCTTATAGGAACGCTGGATGAGCCAGACAAATTCAAGGGCAGATGACCTAGTTTTTTCAACAAGTGACAAAGAAAGAAAGGGGTGGAACTGTTAAAACACTTTTAATGTGGGTGTCATTTGGATCCTAATTTTTTTTTTTTTTGTCTTTTTGAGACAGGGTCTCACTATGTGGTTCAGGCTGGCCTTGAGCTCACTTTGGAGCCCAGGCTGGTCTCGAACTTGCAACGATCCTCCTGCCTCAGCCTCCCGAGTGCTGGGATTCATAGGTGTGCGCCACCACGTCCGGCTGGATCCTAATTTAGATGAATCAACAAAATGTCATTCTGTGCTAACTGAAGAAAATGCACACTTATTATCAGATGCTATTAGATACTAATTAAGAATCACTGTTCATTTCTTTGGCAATGATAACGTAATTGTTACACATTGTAGTTATAAAAACACCTTAGTTTTTAGTCCGTACGGTTTTTGAGGAAATTAAACGGAACACTTATGGAAACTTGTCTCTCCATGTTTTCATGGACAAACAAGGTTTATTATTATTATTTTCAATCCATGAATTAACATGACTGTTTACCGTGTTTCGCTCCTCCTTTTTTACTGTTAATCTTGGCTACCTTTAAATATATGACCTGCGAACAGGAAATGCATTCAGCTAAGAACCCTGTCGCTGCTCTTTCAGTGGATAGACCTTAGCATCAACACACTGGAAGGGTGACAGATTAACACTTGTTCAGTCTCCTCTGAAACACTTGAAGTTTTTGTCCTTCTGCAAAGCCTTAGAAAAAGCAGGCAGTTCCAGAGGAAACCTTCGAAACTGTAAATCTGTCCTCCTAGGATATCAGCACTCTCACTGAAAAGGATGTCATCTCAAGTGCAGGGCCCTATTCAGAACTAGGACAATCCATCCTAGGATCTGTTCCATCTGAGGCAAATACCTGAAATGCCACACTGGGGCATGCAGGTCAGTAACAGCTACAGAAGGTATCTGAGATTCTGAGTTTTGTTCTCTTTTATTAGTCTAGAATTTCAAACTGTGCCTTTCAAGGCTCTCAGTTCAGGGAAATGATTATAGGCAAACAGGTATCTGTTTTGGAGTAGACCATTCTTCTTCTTTTTTTTTTTTTCTTTTCTTTTTGAGACAGGGTCTTGCTGTGCAGTTCAGGCTGGCCTTGAGCTCACTTTGTAGCTCAGGCTGGTCTCGAAAGGATTCTTCTGCCTTAGCCTCCCAAGTGCTGGGATTACAGGCATGTGCCACCACACCCGGCTTCATTCTTTTCTTATTTGCCCGAAGGAGATTCTTTTCACTGGAGACTGCTACGGTCACAATAATATAAATTCTTGGTAGAGAATGTTTATTTGGTTTAACAAGTGGAATACAATACTTGGTTTTCTCATATATTCTGTAACTCTCAACTCCTGGGATAGCCCCAATTCCAGAATTAACACCAGGAGCCACTGTGAGACTGCGCATGAGTGGGGTGTGGCCCTGGAGCAGTGCAGCAGTCTCTGAGGCAGTCTGAAGGCACTGCTGTGGCTTGTCCCACTGTTACCAAGGTAGCCGGCTAGCATTTGAAGCTGTAGTGCCTTTCAACTTGCCATCAATTTTTGAATCTTTTAAAATACTTTAGAATCCTTAATTTTGGTATCATATTGGTATCCTGTACTACAGGTTTTTCTTTCTTCACCTAAAGATTCATCTTTTTTTTTTGTGGTTTTTTTTTCAGACAGGCTTGCTCTGTAACTCAGGCTGGGCTCGGACTCATTATTTAGCCCACGTTGGCCTTAAATTTGCAGCAATCCTCCTGTCTCGGCCTCCCAAGTGCTGGGTTACAGGTGTGTGCCACCATGCCTGATCCTTTTTCCTTTTCTTTCTGTTTTGGAGTTTTTTTTACACCAAAGTATTTCTTTTAATATTTAAAGAAATATTCCTGGCATCTTTCTGTATTTTTAACCGTAGTTCCTGGGACGATCTTTCAGCAAATACATCTGTTTGAAGGAAATCATGGTGTAGGAGCTCAGTGTAGAAGAGCTTTTTGTCTGGGTCAATGTGTAAAAAATTTACAACTGAAGCCAGGCATGGTGGTACACCCCTGTAATCCCAGCATTCAGAATGCTGAGGCAGGAGGACTGCTGCAAGTTTGAGGCCAGCCTGGGCTACACAATGACTCCAAAGCCAGTGTGGACTACATAGTGAAACCCTGTCTCAAAAATCAAAAAACAAAAAACCCACCTGCAACTTCAGAGAGTTTAGCATAGTGTCTTTCAAGAGGTTTTATTTCCTTGATTTAGGCAATCATACTCCAGCAAATGCAGAATTTTTATAAAGTAGTTCTTGGTATCTTGCAATTGCCTAAACATACCATAATATGACGGAGCTAATCAACAGCCAAGTCTCCAGGAAGCAGTGGCTCCTCCATGAGCATTTTAGTTACTAGACAACCAATGACTCAACATCCTTGCTTCGCGTGACATCTTCAACCAATAGTTCTGGAGGTCTGTGCCACTTGGTTGGCTGCCAATCTGTATAAACCTGCCCAGGAGCTGCCAATGTCCATGCAAATCCAGAGCCATATAAATCCACACCACTCGGGGAGACTAATATATTCTCTGGCTTTACACCTCCATGTATATTGTGACTGACAAAATCCAATTCAATTAAAATCTGAAATACTTTTGAACTACTCAGTAGTCTAATCTATTTGCAGAGTTCCAAGCCATCAGGAATTGTGGCATCAACAAATTAAAAGACCAGACGCCATCCTTTTCTTATACACTCCCAACAGTCAACAAATTCTCGTGCCTCAGTTGCTTCCGTAACTGGCTTTCTCACGTAGGAATTTTTAAACCATTCTGTCATCATTCTAAGAACTTCACAGCTACAATTCTCCCACTATCTTTATTCCTATACTTCTTCACATTCCCTAACTCCTTTCTTCAATCAACCCCAGATCCTCATATTTTTCCAGTTTAATTTAAAAGCAGCAGGAATTTTTCTTGCATTTCCTCAGGGATCCTCTCACATGGAAGGATCCAAAGGTTTGCAACTTAGAGGCAAATTTGGGGTTACATGAACGCTGCTAGGGAACCCTAACAGATGCTGAGTGGGACTCGGTGTTTGCTATGCTGCAACTCCTGCAGACACAGTGCAAGTCCAGCGCGGAGCAGAGCTGCACCACACCACAGGCACCGTTCCCAAGGAATGGCAAGGCCTTGGGCCAGGAGCATGCACAGCTGCAGCCTGAAGAGAGAGCGCAAGGTCAGGTCAGCAAGGCAGCTCCTCTATGATCACCCAGGAATAGGCTACCTGCTTTCAAGGTTTATTTAAAAATAACCTGAGAAGACAGCCAGGGGGACCACATTTGCCAGTGAAGAGCAGACAGGTACCTCTCCATCTGGCAAACTGAGTCAGGAGTCTTAACAGCTCCTTTTTTCTTTTTTTTTTTTTTGTGGTCCCAGGAATCGAACTCAGGACCTTGCACTTGCCAGGCAGGCGTTTGTGCCACTGAGCTACATCCCCGGCCCAACAACTCCTTTTTTCATAGTTCAATTTTAAATTTTTATCAGTCCACAATGATTACACTCATCATAGAGAGTGGGTACAGGTACATAATGTACCTTTTCTTGGAGGTACTTGCAAGTGAACCCAGAGCCTCAAGCACACTAGCCAAGTGCTCTCCCACTAACCTACATCCCTAGCTCCTCCAATTCCTGCTGGCTGCCAGAACCTACTCACTTTCCTCTTTAGATTGAAACTAAGATGTAATCTTAAAGATGTCCCAAAACATATTCCCGTTCCAGGAAAGAGGATGCCTGGAGTCAATTCAGTGCGGGATCTGATTTATTATGAAAATAAATATTTACACTGAGACTCCAGCGAAGTTAATAGGTTTCTTCACATTTTCACATTTGAAAAAGCAGCACGGAGGTTTCGTTCATGTTTTAAGCAGCTGAGATGACAAAGATCCTGTTTCCATTTCACAGAAGCCAGGTTATATCCGCTGACTCTTACAACAGACAACTAGAAAATTACTCCATTGCTTCTGCAGTGCTGGTTGGGCTGGCATCTGCTATGGTAGCTAAGTAAATGAGATTTCTGTGTAACACCTGCTGATACCTATGGGTGAAAACAGCAAAAATTAGTAAAAGCTTGCTTTTACTGACCACGAATAAATCCTAGAAAAGAATTTACTCACTCTAGTGGGATGGCTTATTACTAACTTGATTCAGTGTTATCAATCTTCTTGCCAAACTGAAGGAAAATATATCCAGAATTTCGGCCATTCTCACGAGGTTCAGAGCTACTTCTCTAGACAAAGCCACTGTTACGTCTTGCCTGGACTATGGCAATAGTCTCCTAGATCTACACTTGTAGTTGTTTCATTCTCCAAACAGTAGTCTCAGTGCTCATTTAAGTCAAGATCATGTCATTAACTGTTTAAAACCCTCCAAAGGCTCCCAATCTCATTCAAAGTAAAGCTGAGTCTTTCGTACATCAACTTTTTTTTTTTTTTTTTTGGTATTGGGAATCGAACTCAGGACCTTGCACTTGCTAGGCAGGTGCTTGTGCCGCTGGGCTATATCCCCAGCCCTTTGAGTGTGTTTTGTAGATCAACTTTTTTTTTTCCCCGAGTCTTTCTTGTATCCTACAAAGCCCTACATAATGGGGACTTCCAGTTGCCTAGCTAATTCCCTCATCTCTACTTAAATGTCACCTCCTACAAGAACTGTGTAAGATAGTACTCTTCTCCTCGCTTGCCCTACTTTATTTATTTCACAATGTTAGGGAATCAAACCCAAGGCTTCATGCATGCTAGTGCTTTACCTAAGCACTAGTGCTCTACTTCCCTGTTTTATTTTCACCTAAAGTACTTACTGCTATGTACCTATAGATTTCCTTCTTTTAGATCCTAGAGTCTAGAGTATCAGCTCCATGGAAGTAGAGCTCGTGTATTTCTTACTACCGACACTAGCCAGTACTCTAGTACTGTTGAACAAACTTCAGAAAGGAATGAGACGCTCCCATTATCAACGTGAGCTTACTAACCCAGTGTTTTCAGTCAAGGAGCAGAGCTCTCTGTTCAGAAGGTCAATCAGACTAGGGCTCAGAAGCATAGCCTGGGTAACATGGAAAAGCACTATAGAAAGCTTCTGGTAACTTTCTTACCCTGCATTAAAAATCACAGCAGGAAGAATGACCCAGTTCTCAAGAGGAAACCACATTTACCTCCAGGCTCTACAAAGCACTGGCTGTACGGTCTGGGCTTCCCTTTCCTCGCCTGCAAAGCGAGGTTCACCTGCGATCCATCGCTAGGACCCCTAGCTCGGGACAGCGCTGCACCCTCCGCCTGGCTTCCCCTTCGTTGGTCAACCCGCACGGGAAGGGGCACTTACTGAACGCACTCGTTCGCGCAGCCCTTGTTCTGATACTCCACGATGCAACGGATCAGTTGGTCATTCTCCTCTAGCAGCTGCAGGACCAAAGAAAGGCTCAGCGCGAGCGACGCGAAGGCAGCCGTCAGGGACGCCCCGCCAGGCCGGGCTTCTCCGCGGCCGCCGCCCCCGTCCACCCCGTCCACCCCGTCCGCCCCGTCCGCCCCGTCCACCCCGTCCGCCCCGTCCGCCCCGCGCCCGCATGGCCACACGCTTCGCAGGCCTAAAGTCTCCACCGAAAGCGGCCGCTTCGCGGAACTCCCCACGCTCCCCGCCTCCCTCTGCCCGTGACGCGACGACGCTCACTCGCTGGATCGTTTCTTGATCAACCACCGCCTTGCCTCTCATCCAGTAGGGGACGAAAGCGACCGACATCTCTTTTTCTTTATTTTTTTTTGTCTTTTTGGGACACAGTCTTGCTATGCAGTTCAGGCTGGCCTTGAGCTCACTTTGTAGCCCAGGCTGGTCTCGAACTCGCAAGGATCCTCCTGCCTCAGCCTCCCGAGTGCTGGGATTACGGGTGTGCGCCACTACGATGGGCCGCGACAGACATCTCCAGGAGCGGCTTGGAAGTCAACCTCCGCGGCTCGCCGTCGCGTCTCCGGATGACGCAAACAACATGAGACGGTACACTCTCGAAGCTGATTGGTTCTCCCGCCTAAGGGGGAGGGGAGACAAGGAAATCACTCGTGACTGGACACGCAAAGAGATGACGCATGGAGCCCTTGCCCTGAGAGATCCGGGGCGGCATGCGCTTGCGCAGACTGCACAGCTAAGCCTTTATCCTTTGAGGCTGAGCGTGTGATCGCGCGCGCGCACAGGTCTTCAGCGTGCCAGACGTGCACAGCTGTAGGATTGGTGGTTGGAACCCACAGCTATGGCTCCAACCTCACTGGCCTCTCGACCTTAATGACTTCTGAGATCTGCAGGGCTAGACAACACAGGTGTCTGCTGTGGGTTTCCTCGGGGCGATAACGATGCTTATAATGTTTGCAGCTAAGCTGAGCCAAGTCAGAATGGAAGCTCCGCCCATTACTCTAACTGCTAGCGCACTGTACCGTTACCGACTCCTTGGGTTCTTTCGGCAGCACAGAGCTACCCTTCTGGCTTGCTTTTTCTTTTTTTTTTTCTTTCTCTTCTTTCTTTCTCTTTCTTTCTTTCTTTCTTTCTTTCTTTCTTTCTTTCTTTTTCTTTCCCTTCCTTCATTCCTTCCTTCCTTTCTTTTTTTCTTTTTGAGACAGGGTCTTGCTAAATGCTCAGGCTAGCTGGAATTTGCGATCCTCCTACCTCACCCTCTCTTAGTACTGTGAATACAGACGTGCACCTGGCTGATTTTTGTGCTATTAGGAATCAGACAGAAGCGCCTCGGCACAGAACAGGCTTTTATTTTTATGCTGGAGTACAAAGGAGAAAGTTGTGGGTGGATAGGAACCCCAGGCTGACCCAGACAAAGGACAGAGGAGTACAGTACTGCTTTTACGGCATCTATGGGGCAGGGAGGGACCCAGTCTTTTGATGCTACCCGGTGCAGAGGTAGAGTTTATTTATGCCTGCTCTGTTTGTCATGTGATGTCACGTGACATGTCTCATTACCATCTTTAATCTACACCTCAGGGTGTGATTCTTTGCTAAGCTAAGAATGTACAGGAATTGTATCAGTCAGGATTTTACTAGAGACACAGATAAAACACAAGATGTACAAATGTATAAGAAATTACAAGATTGGCTTACGACGTCAGCCAGAGTTGTATAAGGAAGCATGCAGAGGGTGTCTGCACACTGAACACTGAAAGAATCAGTCCAGGGTCGAGTTCACTGCAGAGCTCCGTGCAAGTCCATACCAGGAGGTCGGTGCGTCTGCGACAGAAGGCTGAAAGTTCCAAGGTGGAAGCCGAAGAGTCTGCACTACAAGCTAGGAGATGAAGTCCAAGCTGAAGGTGAAGACTGGAGCTCCTCCAAAAGGAATGGAAGTTCCTCTGTCCTTCCTCATTTCCCTTTTATATCATCTAGGTGATGGTCCACCCTACGGTGGCTCCTCTACACCCTAGGGTGTAGAATTGCTGAACCAATTGCTGAGCCAAGTTTAGTTAAGCTTCTAAACTTCTCAAATTGACATATTCAGTCAACTACTACAGGCATGGTTTATTGTGGCAACTATTCTACATGTGACCCTTGCCACCTGGAAGCCCACCCCTTCCTCAGTGGGTTTGATTTTTTTTTTTTTTTTTTGGTTTTTCTCCGGTACCGGGAACCGAACTCACGACCTTTCGCTTGCCAGGCAGGCGCTTTTGCCGCTGAGCTAAATCCCCAGCCCCTCAGTGGGTTTGATTTAAGTGATTTTGTTTTTCTTGGATCTTGCTCCTTGGTATCTTTGCCACCTACATAGTCTTTGAAGGCAGAGCTGACATCTCATTCTCCTGTCTCCAGCTGTGTTCCCTCAGTGTCATAGCCTAGGCCGGTTCCCGTTTTAAGCTTGCACTTTCCCGCTGTGTTCATTGGCCCCGTGAAGGTAGCCTCACTGTCTCAGTACTGCAAAGGTGTTTTGCTTCAAGACAGGAAGGAAGCTGTGCTCACCCTCCTAGGCCGCAGCTGCTTCTAGTGACCACAGAAGCTCTGAAGAGGTGGCTGTGGTCTTCTGGTCCAGCCTGGTGGACATGTTAACGAAGATGGTTTTCCCTAAAGCACACAGTGTGAGGAGGCCGCTTCATCCAGAAGGGAGATCTTGGAAGTCTGCATTCCTCAATGGGGTGGGTCCTAGAGCTTCACTATCCTGAGTGGTGGCCAGGATCCAGAGAAGGCTCGTCTGAATTCAGCATCTTTCATCTCATTTCATTCTCATGCCACAGAGGGGTGAAACCAGTGAGAGAAGTGAGGTGACATGCCTGAGCTGGGGAAGGACTCAGGACTTTGTGGTTGCCAAGCCTGCACTGTTTGCCCGCGTCTGGCTCCTTCCCCAGACAAATTGGTTCTACAGAAAAACAGAATGGGCAGAGAAGGAACCACAGGGTGGATTTCCCATCCAGCCTTCCGCAGCCCCATTCCTGTTTAGACAGGCAAGGAATGACAACAGCATAAGATAGTGTTGAGGCGGGGCGGGTGCAGGCGACCAGCCTGATCCACTACAGAGGGAAGAGCCGTCTCACTGGGAAGAAGCGGAGGTTGTGTGAGTGTCCAGAGCCTGGGCCCTGTCCTAGGAGGGCTGTGGATGGTTTTAGGTGCAAAGCGATGTCAGCAGTGTCTCTCAAAATTTTCCTGGCTGCAAGATGGAGAAAGGTAGATAGGGAAGTGAAATGGGAAACAAAAGGAGCAGTGAGAAGGCTGCTACCGTCTGCAGTTCAGACTGAGCACAGTGACGAAGGCGTGCATTTGAATGACACAGGAGGAGAGTGACGCTTACACTGCAGTGGAAATGTACAGTTGGATGTGATGTCACCCTGAAAGGCTGAAGTCATGGCTGGATACTCGGGGCTGGAACTCAGGGACAAAGGCTGGGGTGGAGATGTATTTCTGAGCAACATCACTTGTGGAAACTGATTAGAACTATGCAGTGGGTAAGACGGCCAAAGGCGAATGTGCTGGTTTCCCTCATGGTAGAGGAAAAGGGGCTGCAAAAGAGACTGAGGGGGAGAGAGACCAAAACCAGAAGATCATGGAGTCTGAGAATTTAAGGGGAAAATAGCAACTGAAAAGGAAAGCTAGGGCAGCAATGATATATTGAAAGGTCAAGCAATATAAAGACTGTACCTTTGATGTCCTTGATGAGGGCAGTGTCAGCCGTGAGGCAGAGGTCGGAGTTTGAGAGGACTGAGCAACTGGGAAGGGAAGCAGCGGAGCATTCAAAGGAACCACTTACTCTAGAGGTTTGGCTGTAAAGGGAACACCAAGAAGGCAGTAGCTGGAGGAAAGAGGAGCTGTTGGGAGCTCACAGACATCACTCTGATGGTTGCTCTTTCTTGGATAAAGCCACCTGGCTGTGCCCGTCAGAAGTAAGGACCTTTCCTAAAGCGCCTATACTGCAGGTTCTGAAAGGCCCGCCCTCCCCATTCAAAAGCTCCAGCTTTATAGTCTGGCACCAAATTCTCTCCCTGTTTCTCATCCCAGTGCAATGGCAAACAGAAACACCAAAACAACACCCAGGATTTGGAGGCAGATTTATTCACATCAATGGGCACTGATCGGGATCATTCCAGAATATCAAGCCCTGATCTCTGGTGGCCTAGGTCTTACATGGGATAAGCAGGCAGGAAGTACAGAGGCAGCATGGCTTGTCAATTGGGGGTTGGTTTATACAATGTACATCATAGTGACAAGCTGTGCATCACAGTGACCAGCCGTTTCTAAGAGACAGAATCAACCAGAGCTGGAACAGGAACTGTTACCTGAGCAACTAACAAACTGAAGTATACTTGCTGGGGCAGGGGCATTTTCTGTTACTGTAGCACATATACTACTGCCTGGGGTTTGACCTCCTCTACCAACCCCAAACCTCCTGGGTTTACTCCTTTGTGTCTGTTGTGACTTAGCCTCCTTATCACTTGTCACAAGGCTAGCCCTTGCCCAGTATGGGAGGGGACCATGTGCAAGAGCCTGAACACCAAGAGATAGCGATAGCGGGGGCTTCTTGGACTCCATCACAACTCTCCTGCTTTCGTTTTGTAATTTCTATCTGGTTATGTGAGTCCACTGTCCACTCATGTAATGGTGACTTCAAGTCCAGCTCAGGCCTTTAAACTGAACAGAAATCTGTATATTCCACTGCTATGGTGACATCTATATTAGCCAGGACTCTGCAGAGACCAAATGAATAGGGCATCTCACCTATATGAGGGGGACTTATTAGAGAAATTGGCTCACACAGTTGAGGTGGCTGAGACATCCCATGGTAGGTCATGTACAAGCTGGAGAACAAGGGAAGCTAGTAGCATGGTTTGGTGCAAGTCCATCCTGATAGAACGTGTCTGCAGAGCCAAGGAAATAGGTGGTGTAACTTTTAGCCCACAGCTGAGACCTAAGAACCTGGGGGCAGGAAGTGCGGAGACAAGGCCAAGAGTCAAAATGCTGGAGAATCTGGAGTCAATGCAAAGGGCAGGAAAAGAACGGCGTTCCAGCTCTAAAGGAACGAGTGTGTCTTCCCTTTGCTTTTGTGTTCTATCCAGGCCCTCTGCTGGTTACATGGTGCCCATCCACAGGAGCAAGGGGCACATCTTTCTTCCTCAGCCCATGGACTCCCATGTCCAATTCTTGTCGAAACTGCCTCACAGGCACACTCATAAACGATGCTTGAGCGCCTATCAGGGTATCCCTACGGCCAGTCAGGGCGACACCTAAAACAAACGCCACAGCATCCTAACCAGAGGTCTCAGAGGTGCCTCAGGTTCAACTTGTCTAAGAGAGAACTGTGATCTCTTCTCTCCCAAGTCAGATCCCTTCCGGCAGTCTCCAGACATGGGAATTCCAGTTCTCTCCCCTTCCCGGTCACCCCACCCACATCCCAGCTCCATCCTCTCTTGCAGCGGCCTCCTGGCCAGTCTCACTACAGCTGAGATGTCTCTGCTTCTGATTTTTACAAAATGCTTGACCCATTTCCTGCTGCCCTAACCCTTCCACTACGGCCTCCTCTTTTCTCTCGAAGGCCTCCTACCCCACTCTTTTGTTCTCTAAACTCTCTCGTTTTTTGGTGGCACGTTGTACAGAACAGCCTTTATTATGTTAGCCCTTTTAAGGGTACAGTTCTGCAGCACTTAGTACGCTTACACGGTTGTGCAGCTGTCACCAACACCCCTTTTCAGAGCTTTTTAATCCTCCGCAACTAAAATTCTGTGCCCTTTAAAACATCCCCGCCTCTGGTTTACTTTTCACCCCTCAGAGGAGCCCTGCGGCCTTGAGCACAAGAGTTCTTTGTAGTCGCCGATCTGTCCGTCTGAAACACACTTCTCTTTCCTCTGCCCATTCAGCTGCTACTCAGTGAAGCCTCCTCTGACGCCCAAATCCCAAGTTGCCGGCCGGAAGCGCTTGCAAATTCTCTCCAACACCTGCTCCTGTAGAGCTCGGTGGCTACCGGAGAGGCTGAGGCAGAAAGATCGCAAGTTCGAGGCCAGCCTGGGCAACTAAGTGAGAGTCAGTCTGCGTAAGTAAGTAAATAAAACACATTAGGGCTGGGATATGGCTCAGGGTTCCATCTCTCGTCCCGCAGATCACAAAGCCACCCATCCCTGGCCCACTCCGACGGTAATGTGCATTTATACACCTGTTAGTGGTGTGGGGCTGTCACGCTGCCGTGTTCTCGTGACACAGCGCCCTCGCGGGCGTGTCGCTCCCGTGGACTTTGCCTCCGTCCACGCTGGCAGCGGCCGCGGACCCCACGTCCGGAGCAGAGCGCAGCGCCGGGGCTTCCTGCCCTTCGCCCGGGCAGGAATTGAGCGCACCTCCCGAAGTCCAGCGGTGAGCCATGCGGGTCTGGACCTCGACCCGCAGGTGAGCGGCGGGAGGAAGAACGTGGGAAGTGTCGCCCCTGCCGCGTCCACCCTGATTTGGGCGGCGCGGCCCTTTAAGAAGGTTTGACTGGCAATTCCGCCGGGGGACAGCGGTGGAGGCGCGCCGGCATTGGTCAGTTTGGGTGCAGGCGTTGCTTAGCAGCAACGAATGGGAGGGCTCGAGGCGGGCGCATGCGCACCGCCGCCCACCTGCGCTCGGAGGCCGGTGACCTGCGCTGGGCGGCGCGCGGGCAGAGGTAGCCCGGGAGGCTGCGACGGCGGTGGGCGGC